CCTGTACCCTCGTAGGATCCGGATAGCTATCCGCCTCTGAACCCACTAGATATCTTACGGTGGACAATTACCAACACACAAGTCAAGTCAAGTCAAATATCTTTATTCAATATAGAAGCATTCACTTACTTATTGATAGTCAAAAAACTCTACCACCGGTTCGGAAAGCCACTGACCTGAGAAGAACCGGCGTAAGAAACTCAGCAGGACTTTTCTTTTTTTACTTGCCAAAAAAAGTACAAATATGTGTACAATTATTAAATTCCACTTGAAAGAGCCTGGAGCGATCAATTAATTTCCAGAGTGTGTTATCATTCAAATAATCACTAATACTATAATAGCCATTAACACACAAACACAAACGTTCCCTTACAAGTTTTTTGAATTTAGCAACGGATTCATTTTTAATGTTTTCTGAGATTTTGTTGTAAAAGCGTATACATTGTCCCATAAAAGATTTACTTATTCTACGCAATCTAGTTGAGGGTAGAACTAATTTATGCTAGTTCCTAGTATTTACATCATGCACATTACTAAATCTTGAAAAGTCATTCTTATTTTTGTGCACATACATAATATTAGCAAGTCTGTACTGAGAAGCTCCAGTCAATATTTTTTGCTGTCGTGTAACCTATAAACATGATTTTTCTTTATTAAACGATAAAGTAATAAAAATAACAAAGAAACCAATGTTTTTTTTAAGTTAAATTCTAAATAAAAATATAATTAAAAAAATAAAATTAAACCTAAAGTTAAGATTTTTCGCCTATAAGTTGGGTAACATTGTCATAAAGCGGTTTTGAGTCCATATTAGAGATGGGTCGTATCGCTTTTTCTGAGTACCGTATCTGAATCAGATTTCGATTTCAAATATCAGATTTCGAAACTATGTATTTTAATATCTAGATATTTTACGGTCACGTATCCAACTTGAATTCTAAAAAAAAAAAAAAAAAAAGATAAAAATGTTTTCAACGATATTTTATACTCATTCGGAATATAAATTGTGCAGGCGTATTTAAAAGTTGATTCATTCCATATACATAATGTATGATATTTAAAACTTAATACCAGTGATACCAACTGTTCCAAAAGAATACTTCTAAATAAATTCAAAACCCACTAAAATTGACTAAATTTTAAATCACGATTTTTTTATACTATTAAGGTCAAATTAAAACATTACCTGATTACATTAAAAGTAGAAATTGAAGTAATATAAAAATGATTGATTTTAACATCTTATATATCGCTTAATAATTGACTTTAACATATTCTCAACACGCAATCATGAGTGACAATATTTTTATAATTTGTGTAAGAAATAATACATTCAGCATTATAACTTAGGGCAGAAGAATTTAAAATATACACACAAAGCACATAAGCCTTGGTCTGATTTCCACCCAAGCAGCACAGCACTATTAAATTGTATTTTTCTTTTATGTACTTTTATTTTTTTCCAAAAATATGAATAAAATTTAACTAATAAAAATATTCAAAAAAAAATTTCCTCCTAAAACATTTCCATTTATATTTTTCTTCCTTAATTTTGGCAGAAAATTCTTAAGTAGTAAGTTGGCATCCCTAACTATTACGTGCTAGGTACCAATGCAATCCAGCTCAAGGCTAAACAAAAATTTAAAGACATCGTTAATATCGTAATTCGTATTTAAATGCAACAAGATTCAAAATTACTTAACTGCGCGCTTTGTCGCCCGTTACGGCTCAAGGCTAAACAAAACATTAAAAATATAATAATATCGTTGTAGTATTTAATTAAAACGGATCTTATCTGCATGATTTTAAGATTCAAAATTACTTAACTTATTCATAATATCTGTTTAAAAATCTGATATTGTGCCTTGCTTGCCGTAAACTAGTTTAATATTGTATCTCACGCGCTTTGTCGCTCAAAATCTGTTTAAAAATCTGATATCGTGCATTGCTTGCCGTCCCGCTCTAATCTGTTAGTATTTATATCTCACGCGCTTTGTCGCTCGATATCTGATATCGTTCATTGCTTGCCGTCCCGCTCTAACTAGTGAGTATTTGTATCTCACGCGCTTTGTCTCTCGAAATCTGTTAAAAATCAGATATTGTGGCAAACCGTATGATATCGCGATTCGTGTCGGTATAGTGAGCGAGCGAGTATTCGGTATATCAGATTTCGGAAATATCAGATATTGTAAAATACATAGATATTGAACGAGCCAGTAAGCGATATTCGGATATTGTACTAATATCTAGATTTCATATCTGATACGATTTGTATCGCCCACTTCTAGTCCATATGATCATACTTCTGTCACGATCAAATCTCCTACATCCTCTTTCCAACTGACCCCTCGTAACCCTTCTTTGCCATGCATTATTGCATGCAACATTGTTATTATTACATCGCTTTCGATCTTAATTTTTAATCCTATTAATATCGGAAAATATTCTTTCTACTTTGGCGTTTGCCAAAGGCAGTATCGTCATTTGCTTCACAAATCGGACCAAATTGCCATACTTTGGTTTGCTATTAACATCACAGATTTGGCTGACATCACTACAAAATGTATCTACATTGAGAGATGCAAGAGATTTTTTTACAGGTCTGTAAAAAAAATGACTTCCTTGAACATTTCATTTTGCACAAAGACTTAAATATAATAAGTTACATAATAAACAGTGTCTTCCATATTAGCAGTACGATATACTGTATATTATAAAACAGAATGTATTCTGAAGACCCGTGTAAATCTGCACTACAAAGAAAAATGAATTATGCATAAATAAATGCCATCAAAAACAAGATATATATATACATATATATGCGAAGTTTCGCAATGTATTTCTTCCACTACAAATAGCTGTGAGATCTGTAATGGCTAGGCGCTCAATGAAGAACTTAACATTGTATTAATTAAAATACTTTATTGTCAATTGCATTCAATAGTCAATTATTCTTATATATCTATGCCGTGCGAGCGCCGAGTGATTACAGGACAAGCTTTTTGACTACAAGCTTACATTATGAAAGGTAAACTGTATTTTTTATTTTTAGTGAAGATGTCTGAAATACTTAACTGAATAACTTTCTGTACCTTCAAATTTTCTGCATAATGTCATTCATATTCTTTATTGATCTAATAGTGACAAGATTAAATTTATATAAAATTACATACTATCTAATAAATCTAATCCACGCGGCATTTATATTGTATTTTAAAAATATTATTTTTATACGTGATTAAAATTTGCTGACGTTTGAGATTCATTATCATTACACAGTTGTGATGTTTGTACCAAATTTCTGGAAATGAATACAACTCAACTATTCTGCGAGGAAATGCAGCTAGCGTTCTTGGCACCATTCCGCGTGGATTAGGTTTATTAGATAATATGTAATTTTATATAGATTTAATCTTGTAAATATTAGTTCACAAATAAAATGTATTTTCTCATGTATGAATTCATGTAAATGTATGTCTGTTATAATATATGTTGCATAAATGAATATCTCATATATTGTATTTATTATCATGCTAAATAAAAAAAGTGAAGTACCAATTCATTAGTTTTTTTTTTTGTTTAATTAGACTGCTCTCTAAAGATGAATAAATATAGCAATTTATGCACAAGTATACTGTGTGTTACAAACACATTGTACTTGTTCATAACATGCAACGCCAAGTACCTTTAAAATTACTACTTTGGAATTCCTGCCCATTTGCTCACCAGTTCTTTTGGGCAGAACACAGATGGCGCCGGTCGGTAAGAAAAAAATCCTAAAATTTGAATGGAGCCGTCATTCTTCTCTTTGAGTAAAAGTGTTCTGTGGTTCTGCGTCAGATGAAGCGTTAATACAAGATACAATTTAATATTAGCGGCTATAGCGCGCCAATCAAAAACGATTCACAACTGCGTATTACAGAAACACCACAGATAATCAATATTGTTTTTAAGCTCTTATTTCTGGGTGGTGATATAAAAAAAAACTCATTAAATTAAAAAAAAAAAAATCGAAAAATCGACACGAGTATGTTGTACGTAAAGTAAACAATACATATATATAAATACACATATACACAAGAATTGCTGGTTGAAAGGTATTACATGACATCCTAGTGGCGGTTTACACTAATTAATATATAAAATAGTTCCGAATAAGCAATTGGGTACTATAGCACCGCGTAATGACCTTATGTAAACAGGCAAATGGGGATTTTATTTTATAAAATTAAATATAATAATGTCACTGCTGTAACCTGGAGCGGAATTTTTCAATGAGGGCTGAATATGTGTTTTGTGAAATTGCCTGCATTTCCGGTTTGTAAGCCCTCGGTCCCACCCCACTGTCGCTGCTGGACGCAGTTAGCGATTCAAAAGTGAACAGTTTTTAGGTCCACCTGTATTTTGTTAACTTTAGAGTAGAGTCGTACTTGGTAGATTTTTTAAAGACGTACGAGGGAATTTTATCATCAGAATTTGATCATTCATTGGTTTTAAATGTAAATGTTTTACTATAATAACTTTCTTACTTTAAATTTGTTAAACTTGGCTTAGTTTAAACTTAGTTTATCTTGGTAAAAAAATACACTTTCTTCATTAATTTAAGTCTGCTCGTACTTGCAATCGTTTCGCTGTCAGTGTGAACTATCCCGATTATCAATCGATTATTAAATTTTGTATTGTAAGTTTGCAACACCGCATTCGAAGCGGTACGTAAGTTTGTCATTTCATTACTAATTTTTATGAACAAAGTTATTTTAATATTCCTTAAGAGGATAAATTTATGTGTTAATATTTTAATTGCCAATTTGGTTTAAGACACAATTATTGCTTCTCTTACTGATATTATTTGTACGAGTCTTATAAGCTTCTCAGACATATTTTAAGGACGCCATGTTTGTCACGTTTTTGCCAGTTGTGAATTTATTTAACCGAAAATTTTATTTGTAACAGCGTCATCGTGTTCTCATGCACAAACCGTGTCTTTAAAATAACGAAAAATGAACAAAGGCGTATTGAGAAATAAGAAGAAACGTTCACAGTCTCCTCTACATGAAACGAATAATGTAAGTTTTAACTGGATTCCCGCTCGTCGGTATATTTTTGGAATATCACTTCAGTCCCACGCAGAGTTTAAATTATAATTTTTACTTGCGTCGCTTTGCTAAGGAGTTAATTGTTTGTAATATTATTAATTTTGTTATGAGAAGGTTGAACTTACACTTAAATACTTGTGTTTCCCAGATCTATATAGATAATGATCATGTTACAATCATGAATCTTGTAATAGAAATTACTACAACTTGAATGAAGGAATCTCAGTGTTTTCAATAATTTTCTGTAAATTCCGTCGTGCTTTTTACCTAACTATAATGAGTTATTGCTGGCGTTAATTATTGTTGCTAATTATTTTGCAAATCTAAGGTAGAAAAAAGAGACTTATATTAATACAAATTCAAAGGTAAAAAAGTGGTGATATATATTTTTTTAATTAGTAATGCTAAGATTTAAATTATTGAATTCGAAATTAATTATCAAACTTATTTTAGCTTACTTTAAATACATTCTACTCCTTTTGATCAAAAGACAACATAACAAAAATATTTAGGTTCGGTAAATATAGATGTTTGATATTTTTTAGCTGTTGATAATATTTTATATTTGTTTGCTGGCGTAAAAAAGTACTAAATATTTAATGCTTGCGTTAACATCCCAGCCTTTAAATCATCTAAATTTTATAATGTCCCTCCAGCTATTAAAGGCATAGCTAAGTGATAATTATAATATATATCCTTATGTAGGAAAAATTTTTTCTTTTTGAGCAGACGGTTCACCTGGTGTTAAGTGTATACCGCTGCCCATAGATATCTGCTACACCCAAGTGTTTCAAGATACATTGACAACCTTTTTGGAAATTGGGCTCTGGCTACCTCACTCATCAGACGAAAACGCAAAAGTATTATACTTCCACTTTACGGCGGTCTTCTGCGAGTTCGTGGTATTTACCTGGATGAGCCTGCCCATTTGTGGAACAACCGAGGCAGCGGCATAGTCCTACCACCGTAATTTTGCATTGCTATATAGTTTTAACAGTGTTGGCTTGCTTTGATTTAATCTATAATTATTAAAACAATATACATCTCAAATATGTTTTTGGTAATGACATATCTGCCTCAATCTTTCTCAAATATATTTTTGTTGTGTGTTACAAGCTTCTCAATCTAAAATAGCTTGACAAGCTTGTAACACCCAACCATGTTATCTATAAAAACCGGCCAAGTGGGAGTCGGACTGCTAGGGTTCTGTAAAAACAGCAAAAAAAATCATGTCTTGCATGGGGGCCCCACTTAAATATTTCTTTATTCTGTTGTGTTTGTTGTTATAGCAGCAACAGAAATACATCATCTGTGAACTTTTTAACTGGCTACCTATTACAGTTCATGAGATACAGTGTGGTTACAGACGGACAGATAGAGATGTTTTAACCTTCGGGTATGGAACCCTAAAATTTGGTATACCTCTTACTTTGTATTTTATTACTTGAGGAGGTGTATAGTGTAATAAAAAAAAGCTTGTTATACATTGTTCAATTTATTCTGCACAGTACCTAATTAATTCAAGAATTTAGTGTAATTTTTGTTTTTTTATGAAATCTGCTGTTAAAGAGAAATTTTGTTTCATGTATTTCTAAAATTATTATTATAATGTTATGTAACTGTTTTTTTTTTTCAGTCCTTTATGAAGAATGTAACTTCTACAGTATCTTATTTATTACCTTCTTCAATTACTAAATGGTTCAGCACTCCAAGTACATGCAATGCTAATGGATCAACTCCAACCTCTGATCAGACAGATTCTTCTTCGGAAGATGAAATTCAAGGAACTTCTGTGGTGGTCCAACCACCACCAAAGCGAATGCGTTATAATTCAGGAAAGTTAAATCATGTTGGACAATCTGAAGTATGTATTTTGAAATTGCTCATTACTTGCTTAAATGTTTTTCGTAAAAACTGATAGGATACCATGTATAATCATTATAATGATAAAAATAAATAAAATAATAAATAGAACAATAATTAAACCTTATTGTTATTCTTATTATCTTGGTGTGCAATAAAGTATATTTCTTTTTATCGTTATAATAGTTATACCTGGTATCATATCAGTTTATTACCATATATTTAAATTGTATATATATATACCATTATGTATATATATTTATTATTTAAATATACAATGGTAGACAACACTATCATGCATATGGCTGTCCTGGCTCTAAGTATGCATAGCCTACTATAGTACTGTCAATTTAGAATGGCAACGGGTTACTTTCAACGAATACAGCATCATTCACTTGCATTCAAAGATTTTTTTGCCCCTGAATTATCGCTTATTTGTAAGCTATAGTTGATATGTGTTTGCTATTCTCTTCAATTTAATCATTGCCCAGATACATTTCTTTTGTGCGTTAAAAGCTAATTTTAATCAAAGATTCCTCAAATCATTATTCCATATATCTCAAATCAACAATGTTTTTGCTGCAAAATTGAGAAAAAATTGAACCAAATCATGCATACCTTATACTTGAGTGGTCATGCAGTAATAAGTGTCTCATTTTTCAGGTTAATTATAGCAGCATTAATCCTGATGAGCCATTTGATGTAACACAGCCCTCAACAAGTAGAAACCACTTTAAAAGAGAACCAAATTATGTATCTACTCCCATTCATACTGTTATCAATGAACCATCAAATGACAAAAGAGAACGAGATACAACAGTAATACAATCTCACCATTCCCTTTCTACAAGAGGATCATCTGTGACTAGAAAAAGAAAGTCGCTGTTTGATATGCTTGACAAGGATTCAAGTAAAAATAAAGATTCATGTGGTAAGTATAAGATAAATGAGTAAAGTTTCATAATTTTCTATTAAAAATATCATTCTTTAATAAATATAGTGTGTACAACCGCGACAATAAATGAACACACATATAGTGGATAACTTTTTAAAATTGTATTAAACATTTACATTCTTTAAACATCAATATTTACCGAGTTATTGAATTTTCCAAAACAAACAATTTTAGAACACCCTTACATATAAAACTGTAACGTAAAGTTCATTTGTAAAGGTTACAAAGCATATGAATGGGTTGAATGAATTTAAATGAGACAAAACATACTGTTAGAAGCAGAGGCATGTATTGTGACGCTGTGACAACAAATGAAAAAGTCTCTGAATGTATGAATCAGTCAGTTGTAGTATAGGATGTTACAAATTTAGAAAGGTAAATTTTGTAAATAAGGATGTGAAAATAAGATATGGCCAGTTCTAATAAATAGAAATAAGATGTTGCATAACTATTTACAAGAAAAGATTTTTACAAACTGATAAAAATCAATGCTTTCATTTTCAGATCAAACATTAAGTAAAAAATCAAATAGTTTAAATGATTATAGACAACCTTGCTTTAATATTGGTTTAGCTGCTTCATCATACTATAGAGCAAACCTTGCATATGCTGGAGCAGCATCAACTTACATGAATAAGCCAAACATCAAGTCATCCAAAACTACAAGGGTTAATGAAACTAGTCATAATGACAATACCATAAGCTATTCTGCCAGGCGTGTTATGGACTTGTTAGAACATTATTCCTCACCATTATTAGAGGCCAAAAGAATTTCCCCATATATAACTTCCCAGAGCAAATACAATGAAAGTAAATCATCTGAAAATGCTAAAAGTCATTGTAAGTATTATTTTGTTACAAGTTGTTACTATATTAAATGATTATGTAATTTATCAGCAATAAATGATAATTGATTGTTAATTTTTTAATGTTAACTTTCAGCATATAAAACACAAGAACTTCATGTGCCTACTATTGCTTCAATACTCTCACTAAAAAAACGTTCTCGTCTTATGGACGCAACAAATACAGCACGGCAAATTATTGCATCTCACAGTAGTTCCACACATTACTCACCTTATCAAAAGAACAGGTTGCAAAGGTACATTTTAATAATTCTTTTTAAAAATTTCCTTTAAGTATTTAACCTTCAATTAAGTGTTAACTCATATTTTATATTTACATTTTTATTTTTAGTGAAGTATCAAATACAAATGCTAGTGACAAACTAACAACAAAGATTAAGAACAAAATAACAAGAACAAAAATAGGAGGAAATGCTGATATGAAAAATAATTTTGTGACCCCTGTGAAGTTGCCAACTGCTGTCTTAGAAATTGATCAAAACAATTTACCAAAGTTTAATTTTGGAAACCCAGTTTCATCAACCTCTTCCAGTTTAATTGGTATCCTCAGGTCACAAAAGCCAAGCCTTTCAATCTCATGAAGTTACAAATTCAACTGAAAGTAATTTATATAATTTTGAAACCCCAGTTATTGTTTCAACTGATGTAACATTAGCTTCACCAGCACCAAAATTCACATTTGAATATCCCACAAAAAATGTTGATGAGTTTGATGATAGTAAAGAAAAAGAAAAACCTCGTCATGTTTTGTTAACAGAAGAAAACAATAGTGAATTGATTTCAGAAAAGCCCAAAGATTGGACCTGTTCTGATTGTTGGGTAGTTAATAAGGCTGATGCGACCAATTGCGTCTGTTGTTCAGCCGAAAAGCCAAGTCAAGGAAACAAGCCATCACATTTATGTCCCATTTGTAAATCTAAAGGAATGGATGGAAATTCAAAAGATGAGTGCTCCAAATGTACAAAGGCACAAAGAAGCAATGGCAATATTATGGTACCTGTAATCCATTCACATTGTAGGGTAGAAAATCCATCATCCACTCAGCAATCTTCACATTTTCGTGTTATTTATCCAACAATATCCGAACAAAATGTTTGCTATGGTTACAACAGTTCTACAACTTCCGACCAATGCAACACAACTGAAAGTCATTGGAAGTGTAGTGATTGTTGGATTAATAATCAAAGTAATGTAGACAAATGTATTGCATGCGGTGGAGTTAAACCAAATTCTCAAGTTAATAGTAAACCTTCAATTTCATTGAATCCATCTTCCAACCTTGTGTCATCTTCATTTAAAGTCAGCGATGAAATATTTGAGAATATTCTTAAAGCACAGACTGATAAATGGGAATGTTCAAATTGTTTGGTCCGAAATGATAGTGATAAAACGAAATGTATTTGCTGTGAGACTGAAAAACCTGGCGTGACAAAAGATGCAAAAAAAACTGGATTCAATTTTGGAATGAATACAAATACCACATTCAAATTTGGCATAGATCCAATGGAAAATGTGGATAATTTTAACAAAGATATGGAGTCTGAAGAATGTGTTGAACAATCATCTACTGTTGAAAAATGGGAGACTAACAATAATGTTATACCAGAAACACCTAGATTTAATTTTGGATTACCTGGGAACAAAAGTACTGAAAAAATTGAAGAAACATCTCCTATTAATAAAGTAGTTGGGACTCCAAAATTAACCTTTACATTTGGAATACCTAATCAAGCATCACTTGGATCTGGAACTAAAACCGATGTTTTAGAAAATAATATAAGGGAAACAGAATCAGCAACAGTTTCTGAAGAAATATCCCAAGAAGTGCCAACTGTTGATTTAAAACTGTCTAAAAATCAAGAGGGCAATGTTATTGCCCCAAAAAATATATTTGAATCAAATCTACCTTCTCAAGAACCACTTCCAAAAGTACTAAACTCAAATACATCTGTTGTAGCTGGTTCAACAGTGCAAGAAAAGAATATAACATTTAAGCCTTTCGTATTGCAACCTACTATTGTCGAAACAAATAAATCTAACACATTTACTTTTACCCAAACTGGGCTAAAAATTCCTTCAAACTTGTTTACCATTGCAACTACTACCATTGCAAATGCTAGTACCTCAAATAACTCTACCATACTCACAGTCACGTCTACTACCAGTTCTTCATTATTTCAAACAAGTGAGACAAATGCCAACCCTGCACTCACTTTATTCCAAAGAGCTGATCCTGTTCCAATAAATAAAAATTTATTTCAAAATCCTATTACAACTACATCAAACATAACTACGGCACCAACATTGACAGCATCATCCAATTTATTTAGCTTCGGTAATAATACCCATATATCTATGTCAGAACCAGGGCTTTCAAAATTTAATTTCAGTTTTGGAAACACAAATAAAACAGATAGTCCTCCAATGTTTAATGCAACATTTGGCCTAAATAAAAGTTCTAGTACAAGTTCCAATTCTAATACATTTAGCCTTGCAGCTGCTGCTGGTGTTGGAAACAATGCACAATTACCAGGCAGTTTGTTAGGTATTGGAAATGAATTAACATCAGGACATCCTATAATAAGTAATACTTTGTCTGGAAATAATGGACTGACTACTGGAAACCCATTAGGTGTTCCTGATCTGGGAAATACGACATTAAATGAAGGAAATGGCTTGAAATCTTCTACTACCATATCAACTACACCTTCCAGTGGACTCTTTGGCGGTGTGGGTGAAAAAGAAAATGCGTGGTCTAATACCAATAATGCACCAGGAAATTTATTTGTATCAAATGCAACCACTAATACATTACAGAGGCCTGCTACTTTTACTTTTGGGGCAGCAACTCCCTTTAATGCCAATAATACCGGGACAGGTTTTGGAAATAACACATCTAATGCATTTACAATGCAAAGTCAAGGCTCTACTCTCCCTACGTTATTCTCAAATTCACCACAGTCGCAAGCGGTACCAAGTATATTTGGGAACCCACAAACAACTAGCAGTCCTGCACCTACAATGAGTGTCTTTGGAAGCACAAATCCTTCTGCCAATAGCTTTAATGTGCATAACCAAACAATATCTACATTTGAAACACAATTGCAAAACCCTGTGCCAGCTCCAAGCTTCAACTTTGGTACACAACATCTCAATACAGGAGGGGTCTTTGGATTTGGACAGGTAAGTGTTGATTAATTCTGCTTCTTCTTAGTCGTTCCCTCACTGCTGAGGATTGTGACCCTTATGGTCAATGAGCTGTCTCCATTGGTTTCGTTCCGTCGCTTGGTGGGATGCGGCGTTTATGGGGATTTCCAGGTGTTTTGAAATTTGATCTGCCCACCGTTTAGGATTATGGCCTCTAAGTCTTTTACCCTCTATCTTTCCCATTATGCATGCGTTGTAAGCAGATTGCAGACTCTGAGCTTTTTGATTAATATTAGACATGAAATTAAAAAATAGCTTTGCCTTCAATCTGTGTCCATCCATCATAACTAATTACTTGATACTTTATTTAATGCAAACTAAGAGTAATTAATTCATTAAAATATATAAAGGTATTAAACATATAATAGCCAATATATTGCCTTAAGTGCAAAAGATAGCAAATTTATTGCCATAAGTGTAAAAGATGCATTTGAAATAAAAATGGATAGTAAGTTTTAGTTACTATTTATGTTCACTTTGGACACATTGATCGCCTGATCACTCCATGGAGCGCCCGCCAAAGCGCCCTAAGAGCTTGGCGGCTTCCCAAACCGGTGACAATAATAGCGTGACGGCCCGAGCCGAGGCCCCCTCGGGAGCCCTCAAGCTTAGTCACAATAACGCGTAATAATAATACGATGTTCAGGCTAGGCGCCCCGAGCGCCTGGCCACCTCATGCCCGTCGGATCTGTAAAGGCCTCTAAGGTCAAAAGTGGCTCATCCAGCCAAAAAAAAAAATAAGACCAACAACCAATAAATTTATGTTTAGTCCTTAAGCACCAAATCCGAAGACATGGATAGAGTCTCGATAATTAAACATAATTTCATTTACAACCATCAAACCAGAGTCCGACTTGAAAAACTTAAATTCAAATGGTGCTTAAACCTCCAATTCTTCTTTTGCTAGGATAGGGATATCTCCTTCACATTACACCATTGTATAGAACTGATTTCTCAATGAACTGAGTGGAACATTATCTTCACATTCTTAATGTGAATCAAATCTGATCCCCGTATGCTAGTCATAATACCTTGTGCATTATTTCAAAGTTGGACTTTTTAAAACTTCCTTCCTGTTCTGTATCCGTATTGTGTAGCAATTCCAAAAGTCTTCAACTTAAAAATCGCTTTCTTCTATATCAATCGTCTTCAGAACATTCCTCTTCCAACCATCTAGAAATTCTTCCTTCCATGCTCCATGAATCGATTATTCTGTAAAAAAGCAATCACTTTAGATACCAATAATATTAAACTCTAATAAAACATCTTATTTTATTGTTAATAAAACATTACAAATATATTTACAACCACCAAACACCTAAAGTAGCTCATAAGAGATATGTCACGCGAAAGGTCGCTCGCTCTCGTAGAATTTACTTTTCACGCGAAAAGTAGTTAGTTCGAAGTTCTCTTGTTATGTTTTTAACGGATTCAATTTTTACATTATCATTATAGGCGCTTTCAATGTCTAAAGTTGAGATAATGGTATTCTACTACACTGGAGATAAAAAATTACTATTTTCTATCATTTACACATAGTTTTTTAAATATTTTACAAATACATGATATTAATGATATACTTCACAATCTTTTAATTTACACTTTTAGGTATTGGTATTTTTTGAATATTTCTCCATTGATGAGGAAGAGCACTGATAGCATAGTATAATATTTTATATATATTGTATAAGAGAGAGTTTTGCCACATCAGGAAGATTGTTTAGCATAGAGAGGCATTAGGGCAAGGTCCTACTTTTTTTAAAAAGTCCTACTTTTTGATATTTGGACACTCATACAGATATGTATTCAATTTATTTTCTTTTTGAATTTAGTCATATTGTAACACTCAAATTTAAAATATTCGAAAATTCTTCTTCATTTATTTCTAGGTTATTCCCTTTTACTACTTCATAGGATAATGACATTTTGTATTAATTGTCATTGAAATTCCATATTTTTAAACCTTTGACACTCTAGCAGGTTAATAACATCTTCTTTCCTTTGAAAACAAATACAAACTTTATTTAAGCTATTATATTTTCTGAACGAAGCAATTTCGCCAATCAATAGCATTGTTTATTTAATACATTTATTTAGGTAAATTGTTCACAGATGTTAACACAAACCTCATGATACTTAATATTTCGGATATTTGGCTGCTGCATCTTTATTATTTCTCACTGTTCATTCCTTATCAAACATTTGGCGATCATTCTAGTCATAGTAATAAAGCCATTACCTTTGTGAAGGTCATCCTCTCGATCTTTTCTTTTTACAGCCCCTTTTTTCTATAACATTTAATTATTGTTCAGATTTGTCCAAGATTTCAGTCACAAATTTTCTCCACATGGATCATCCTCCATTTTTCACATAAACAAAATGCATTAATGTTAATGCTAAAAAGTTGAACATGCATACGCCTAGTTCAATGTCTCTCTGCACACTAAAGTAGTTCTACTGAAGATATTACCCACAACTTTTGTAATACATAAAATTTTCCAGTGTCTTTTGACCCTTAGAGTAGCTAAGGCATGTGACATTTGGCATGGTATTTATCCCTGTTCAGTTTTTTAATTAATATAAAAATGTAGTAATACGCGTTTTTATTTTGCGTTTTCCAGCAACCGCAACCACAACAGCAGCAGCAACAACAACCACAACAGCAGTTCCAAAGTCCTGTTTATAATTTTGGCTCCAGCCAAGGCACACCTCAGTTTAACATGGGTAGTGCACCTAATACGACTGCACGTCGAGTTAGAAGGGCTGTGCGTAGGTCAACACAACGATGAAATTCGCTTAATTACGTAATTACACGTAAAAGAAAACTGCACCAGTGAAAAAGTGTGAGTGTACTAAATATTAGGGAATAAATATTATAGACTCAGTATGTGTGAATCATAATATTATGTTTGTAGAAAGTTTGCAAGTGAACATGATGTATTCAAGGCATGGCTACATAATTAAAAAACAAAAGTAGTATATGTAATAGATATAAAAATATAAACGACTTTAAAAGCATAAGTATTTTGCTATTTTCAACAACATAGAATTTGTAATGTCTTGTATAATCTAAAATAATTACATAATTTGTTTTTTTTATGCACCATTATTATGTATATATAAACATTAAATGAAATGATATTATGTAAAAGACATTGCATCTGCTTAACAGATTCTGACTATGGATCACTTCAGATAGAATAAAAATTACATTAATAATATCAACACCTGATTGTGATTTGTTATTGACATGAGAATAATCTGCTTGTGAAATGGTTAATTTTTTATGCAGTAAATGGTTGTTATGCAACTTAGTATTCAGCTAAACTAAAAAAAAAATATTACTTGTCGACATGAATATGTTTATTTGTACAAAAATTTTTAGGTTTTTGCCTAAAATTTTATGAAACTTTTATTTCCATTAAATAAAACTGCTATCATATGCTATATATATATTTTCTTAATCTTAGTGTAATAATCTGCTGATATTTGTTTAGCATAATATTATAAATATTTGCAGAAGCAGCAAGTAATAATTATGAAGGTGTGATTTTTAGATAATTGTTATAATGTGTTAGCAAACTGAAATATCATGCAGTTTTAAATTATATGTGTTGCAAATTGATTAAAACATATAGGTGCATAATAGTTATATCCCGGTCAACTTCACATGGTACATAGCTCATAATCAAATTATTAATATATATGTATATATATATATATATATATATATATATATATATATATATATATATATATATATATATATTAATAATTTTTAGGGTTCCGTACCTTAAAAAGTAAATAAAGGAACTGTTATAAGATCACTCTCTTGTCCGTCAGTCTGTCCGTGTGTCAAGTAAGTTATAGACAATAGACACTATAGACCACAGTATCTGGTATAAATTTTAACTTACTAGGTCCATCCATTCTTGAGAAAATTGGTGGTAAAATTACTTATAAATTTTATTATGGTGGTATAATGGGTAGGTACAGAACCCTCGGCGTACGAGTTGGACTCGCACTCGACCGATTTTTTATTTTAAATTAATAAATATTTTTTTTTAATCATTGACTGTCACAGTTGTACTATCATGGTAGAGGCTTTGCCTCTCTCCCAAGGGATCAAAGTTAAACCGTCGGGTTTCTTACCGTCGTCGCGAAAAATGCCATAGGGCTCTAAAATAGATGGAACATTGGAACTCTAAGAGCCTATCTCTTGTTTCCAAGATCCAATTCGGATGATGTCGTTCAGGGAACCGTGGCGGAAAACACTTTTTTGACATGAAAGCCCATGGAGACCAAATTTGTCTGCATTGACAACAAAATTCAAATAATGATATTATAAAAATAAATTGTTAATAAATTATTTTTAAATGTACGTAGTTTGAATACGAAGAGCGAAAATTTATGTTAGGCATGTACTGACGAAAAGAATGCTAACGCGATCACGTAAGGCGACAGCGGAGTAGGAGGGCGGGTTTGTTCTCGGGCCAGATACTATGTTAAGTTGACTGGGTTATATGTGTTGGTCATAGTAGAAAATATTTCAGGACTTAAGATTATAAACTGGTTCAACTGAAATAAAATATATAAAGTCAAATGTAATCCCCATATGTTTTCTGTGATATATAAATTGTAATCATAACTAATAACAACCCCACACATAGTAAAGATATTTAAAATTCCATTGTGATTTCCAAAGTGAATAAACTTTCAATGTATATTTAAAACACTTTGCATCATTTTTTATTATAAAAGCAATCTCTGATCCCCCCCCCCCCTGCCCTCCTCCAATGAGATAATAATAAATAGTTGTTTTTTTTTTTGTTAAATAACAATTACAAGAAATTTATAAAAAACGCTCTATCTAAACTTTCTTAAAAGCATTCTATGTATGTAAAATATATGAAGTTAAGAAATACTGTAGTTTACGTAGTAGTGAGGTAACAAATATTGTGTTAATTTTTTACAGTCCCATGTATTTGAACATAAAAAGTAAGTAAGGTAACATAAAACAACTTTTTGAATTTGAGTTTAAATTTGTTACAGTCTTCATGCTGTTTTTTTTTATTTTGATTTGCCTAAGCTTTTTCCGGGAATTTCAAGAGAGTGAATTTTCCAGCCTTCATTTTTTATTGTTTGTAAATGGTAATAAATGCATGTAATTTTTATGTTATATTAAATTTAAAACATATGTAATACTTTATATATTATTATAAGTGAAATTGTTACAACATTCATATAGAGAGATCTACATAAGTTATTTTGTGGTGAAAATGAGTATCATTATAAGTATGAAAACAAACATGAAAATTTTTGATCAAGTGGGACACAAATTTTACTTAAGTATTGAAATGTGCAGTGCATAAAAGCTTCTATTCATGAACTGATTCTTTAGTATCAGGTAAATGTTTGCACATTTGCAAATTCTCTAAAGCAAGCTATCACTTTATCTGATCACTGTCATATTATATTATAATTAATTATTCTGCTTTAGAGAATAATTTTAACAGTTAATTGCTTTAAATAAATATTGTTGATTTTGCCATGGAAATTTAATCCACCTCACATTTTTCTGTGATTTTAGTGTTCTATTTAACATTTAGTAGATGTTAGTCCCCACATCATCTATTTTCTTTGTTATACTCTGAATGTTGTATATACAAGTTGTTAATAAGCATCCTGTTTATTATGCAAATGATAATTCCATTTTACAAAACAAAACTATTCTTATGATAAGATACATGGTGCTGGGCTTATATGTACCATTGTGCTATTATCTAGCCCGTTACAACCCTGTTATGAAAAATATTATGTGTATGTAAAAGTACATACAGTACTTATTCCAGTTTCATATCAGCCTGCTTAATATTACGAATTTAAGTTTATTGTGATTATAATACTGTATTTATGTAACGATCTTGATTTACTTGTAATACATGAACACAAGTGTTATTTTAAATTATTATTATAATAACATTTCATACTCCTTTTTATTCATAATAATATTATGAATAAAAAGGAGTATGAAATGTTATAGACAACCTCTATTTCAAGATCATCCAAAGCAGGTTCACTGGCATGAATTAAAATGAGAAAATATAGTTACATTTGAAGAAACTAGTAGTTTGTATGAGCATTGTTATGAATAAGTCATCATTTTCATTCCTCAAATTTATGAGGCTTGTCTGACTTGTCTAAGATTGTCTTCTAGATTTTGGCAATTGTTATCATATAAAGTGTTGATTTATCATTAAATAAATAAATCCTTTTTGAAATGGTTTGTATTTATGTAATTATGAATAATACGTAAAAATATTATTAATAATTGAATTAATAGGAATTGGTAGTACCTATATATTAATTAACATAATTTTTATAATTAACTTTAAGGCATTAGCTGTAAGTTCCCATATTAGAACATTTGTATTGTGCCTGTGCACTACTGACATTAAGTAATGAATGAATCTGGATTTTTTTTTATAGTTTAGTCTGGAAATTAATCAAATTTCTATTATTTGTAGTAAAGTGAAATAAACTATTAATTGGATGTAGAAAATAGTCCCATGTTTTGTTGATTTCAACAATCAAGTTAAATTTTTGTGTCTGATTACCAATTTAGTCCAGTTTTTGCATCTAATTTTGTTTATCAATTTCTTTTCAATTAGAGTAACTGTTAAATGAAGCTGGCCTTCTTAAGAATTATATATTAATTTTTGATGATTTGAAAGCCTAAAAAAAGTAGTAGTAGTGGAATGATCGGCTGTTTTTGTATATAATTTATATTAAGACTGAAACATTTAAAACAGGCTTTTTTCAGCTCCTTAAGATGTATGCCAATATTTTGAAGGTCCTGAGATGTTTTTTTAAGTTATATGCGACTTTTGCATATCTTGAATGTTTCGAATTTATTAAATAAGCATTCTAAGATATATACAGGATATGCAATCACTTTAAACCAAACTACACCCAAGTAATAAAAGACACCATCAAAACTATATATTGGATGGTTGTATTAGTGTTTTTATTTTTACTTTAAAATATTGTTTTAATTTAGTGATAAATATATAAGTATCTATAGCATTGTGATTTATTTATGACATATTAATAGTAATTTGATGGCAGTGATTACATGCTGTGAGCTACCACTATTAAACCAGTTTTGTTTGCCAACTACAACTATTGCCATCAGGTGATGAGGTAGAAAAAAAATCCCATTTCATCTATTGCTTCCAATGGTACTTTAAATAAAGCATACTATTGTGAAAAGCACTGTTTCTAATTTAGTTGGTTTTAGTTTAGGTTTGTTTTCAGTATTTGTATTAAAAATTATAAAATTAATATTTCATGTTTCAACACTACGCCAAGTACATATTAAAATTTAAATAGAAATTATGCAATGAAATAGACACTTTTTTTAATTCAAATTAGCCACAATTCAAGATTATTATTTATTAAAGTAATATTGAATCCTGTACATAGATATTGTAAGGAATAACTAGACATTTTTTTACATTAATGTGGGGAGTTCTTTGATAATTATTAATGGTCGCCCCAAATTATTATTGAATACTACTAAATTATGTATTTTACTTATATATTAATATCAATGCATACAATTATAGAGTAATAAAAAAATTGGGGAGCAAATCTAAATTTCAAATATTATTGTTTTTGATCTATATATTAATATATTGCATTGAATTTGTATTCTAATGTTAGTAATATTAATCTTTTACTTTATTTTAGATTTGTTCCTCAATGAATAATATTATTGAAATAAAATAAATGGATGATTTTTTAATAAGCAGAAAAAATGATTTTACATGTAGACCTCTTCCAAAGAAAAAATAGTAATGACTAGATATAAAATAATAATGAATTTTAGAAATTGTTCATAGGTTTCGGTAAAATTGCACCAATTGTCCTGTCTTGTTTACTTAAGAAAACATGACGATGCCCACTGCCAATTATTTCACAACTAACGCTTTTTATATTATATCTTCCCACGCCGGGCCAAACAATTACTCGTTGGTATCCCGGAGGCTTATCATAGGTACTGTTGAATCCATACATGTTTCTCTTAAATATTTTTGGCTTGTCAACATTTATGTCAGCTGGACCAGGTTCTTCCGGTTTCCGTAAACAAATTGACAAATCGACAAGCATATTACGACTTCTGCAAGGTTGATCTCTATTTGTTTTATTCATTTTGCCGAAGTGCGATTTTTTGTATGTTTCAAAACAGCCTTTAAGAGCAATAGGCCAAGTAGCTGCATAACATTTTAAAGACAAATTAAAATGGTTTTTGATAGTTGTGCAATCACGTGGTCCCGTAAATAAGTCATATGGGCCTCTTAATGAGACTATTTTCTTGGACTTTTCCTCGATGCTATTTTTGTCGATAATTTTGTATCGATTCGGTGCTAAAGACCATTTTGGAGAAATGTCTTTAAATCTGCATGGACTTTGCATCTCAAATGTTTGTTTAAATGAGTGTGGTCCAAAAGGAGCTTTATATGGCACAGCTCTGTAATATGCACCAGGGTTTGGATTACTATCTGATGAAGTTTTAAAACGAGGGGTCCTTCCGAAACCAACATTCATACAGGTAGCTTCGCATTTATTTGATTCTGATTCATAATGCCATGCTGGTCCTAACAGAGAGTTGAACCATTTTTTCTGGTCAAGTATTTTTTGGTTTCTATATCCCAAATGTTTTGACCAGTCTTCTAGTTCGCTTTTATATTTCCATGGTTCAACGCGTTTTCCCTTACCCCGATGAATAAATTCAAAAATTTTGTCGATTGTTTGCGGATTATAAAGGCATGGATTACAACCTTTGGGTCTTTGTACATAAAGACCATTTCGATCTAAATCAGGATGACCGGTGTTCTTACCGAATCTTTTACTACTGCAGCCGAATGGAACACGTTTACTGGGTGTCACCATTTTTATTTAACAGTTGATGATAATCGTGGATAGATTTAAAATAGTAAATTTGACAATGACGTTTTGTATTTATTTGAATTTGATCTATAATAGTTAATTTAAAATAGATTTTTGTATGACATTTTAATTTTCTCATTGTCTATGGATTATTTTATATTTATGGAATTGTCTGCGACCAATGACCATTCAGTAAATACACAGCGCAGTGAAATAGACCTAGAAAACCTAACAAAGTGTTCTACCACAAGTTATTATTCGTTGGAATATATTCCTTACCCATTGATTGATATTAATCAAACTTAAATGTTTAAATACATGTTGTATTGTTGTTATAAAAAAAAAAAACGTTTTCCATTAGCCGGGCGCAAATGTTATATTTGACTTTCAAGTGCTGCCGCTAGAACTCGCTGTGTCTCGGCACCGAGGATCATCGACGCGAGCTTCTGGCTCCGCATTTTTATGTTCACTCTAGGGGTAGTGACAACGAGACCACATGGAATTGGGTTGCTCTGTGTCGAATCTGTGTCTCACTTTGAACTTAACCTAATTCACTATATGAATTCGAAGAAAAACATTATTTTTTGTTCTACCTGTTCGGTCAGAATAACATTGTATCTTAACTTACTACTAGTATCAGTACCTATATCTATTTTAATTAGATAGCCACTGGTGGCAGACTATACACTTACGTTTATTTTGTAGTGAAATAACAACATACTCTTTTTCGAACGTAAATGGTATAGACGTGTTAAATTACAAAAATCCGCTACCAAATACTATAAAACGTAGTCAAAAAGATTATGTAATTCAAATGGAATGGCGTCATAAATGGCGCAGTTCGATCCATACATAAGCACAAATGAACTTAATACTTTAGTGTGTTGCCGTTAGGCTAGATAAATGTTAACGATGAAATCCGTTATTTTGTTAAAGAGTATTTTAACGAAAACTTAAGAGTTAACATCTTCCACCCACCAAATTCTGCAAACAAGTTTAAAATTGATAAAAGATACAGAATTCTCGACGCAGATACGATTTACGTTTATTGGATTACAAGTTTAGCCTATTAGGACACGTATTTCAAAGAAATGTTGGTGGATAAAATTATTTAATCTAACAGTTAATAGATAGGTTCTGTCGTCAAAGAATGGCTTCACAGATCGTTATGTTACCGTTTGGTTTTTTCATTCCACTAGTTTTAAGTGGTTGCGTATTCTTTAAATTCAAAAATCTAAGGAAGTCGAATCGGGTACTTCTCTGCATTAGGAAATACCGCGCCTAAGGCAGTGTACATTGAAAATCGATGGGGGGAGACGAGGGTTAGTCGCGCTTGCGTTTCTCGTGTGTCGGCCGCGTGTCGTCGCCGGGCCGCCGCCGCCGCTGCACGCGACCTGTGGAGCGCCCTACGACTTGTTGCCAAGGCCACCTGTGGCACACATGGAGGCACCGTGAACGTCAGGTAAGTTTCTGCAAACACTTTGGGACGGATACAGATAATCAATTGTATTAAAAGGCCGAAGATTGCCGCTCGCGGGCATGATTTAAAATCTCATCGGTAAATGTCAGTGTTTTGTTTCTAGGTTATATTTATGATGGCTGCTTTATATACAACATTTAGTTTCAAGGATTGGATCTACTATAAACATGGGAAACTCACGATTTTAGAAGGATTTCGTATAATTCTTATTTGAAGTATTATTTTTTATGTGAAAAGTTGCCAAGCGAGCAGACGCTTCACCTGATATTAAGTGAATAACGCCGCCTATGGATCCAGATGCGTTGACAACCTTTTGAAAATTGGGCTCCGGCCACCTCACTCACCAGACGATACGCGAAAATAGTATACTTCCACTTTACGCCGGTCTTCTTTGGGAACCCTACGGTGGTAGGGCCACGCAGCAGCCTCGGCTTTTGCACGAATGGGCAGGCTCGTCGGGGTAAGTACCACGACCTCACAGAAGACCGGCGTAAAGTGGAAGTATGACAAATACTTTCGCGTTTCGTCTGGTGAGTGAGGTAGCCGGAGCCCAATTTTCAAAAGGTTGTCAACGCATCTATAACCCTCGGGTTTGGCGGAGGTACTTAACATCCGGTGAACCATCTGCTCGTTTGACAACTTTTCGCATAAAAAAAGATATTATTTTTCTTTTGCAATCACAATGTAACACTTTTAAAAATAAAAGCTTGTTTTAAAGTTGTTTTTCTTTTAATTAAACTAAATTTAAAACTTTTTATCGTTATCTTATATTTTAATAAGTTTACATATTACACCTTATCAAAGACAGAATCCATATTCATAACAAACGAAACGAAGGAAGTTTCTTTCCCAAATTATCATTAAGACGATTCAAACTCGACGAGGTTGTGTCGCTTAATAACTGTGTTCCTATGCATCTTCCAGCTTCATTATCAGAAGCTGGTTACCGTTTAGCAACCAAAGTACTCGTCAAGACGAATCAAACGAACGGAGACTCGATGGGGCTGCGTTGTTTCTTAACTACGTTTCTATGACCAACTTCCAGCTCCATCATCAGATCATACCCGGGTACCATCTTAAAATAAAGTACCCTCCAATACAAATCAAACGAGCTGAAATTCGATGGGGTGCTTCGTTTTATTACAGAGTTAATATATGACCACCTTCCAGCCCCCATCATCAGATCAGCACCATGTCATCGCATATTACACTATTACGACAAACATCGGGACAGGTGAAACTAAATCAAAGCTTGCAAAATGAATTCACATAAAAATTTTTCGTAAATGTAGATTGGTTACAGATATACCCTTTTCATGTATTTAGGTACTTTGTGTTACCTATGATAGCTCGCAGTACTGCTGTAAAGTGATTTGGCATACTTTCTACAAGGTTTTTGCGTACTTTCATGTGCGTAATATTCTGCCATTCCCCTACAGTCCCGACTTAACCTGTTCAATAGGGTAAGCCGGGCCTGCGTGCTGGCCACTCCATGCGTGTGATACCGACTTCTTGAAAATAGGCAAACACTATCTGAACTGTATGCGGACGGGCATTGTCTTGCATAAAAACATGACATTCTCGCCCATGTCCACTAAAAATGGACCAGCGTAGTTATTAAGAATGTCAGTGACATATCTTACTGTAGTTAAAGTTCCATTTTTCATCACCACTAGCTCAGTGCGGTTTTCGGAAGAAATTCCTCCGTCTCCGAGAGACTCCGCAGAATGCTACTTTTACAGAATAAAATGAAAAAAATTAAAAAGGCCATTCTATACAGGCTTGGTTATAGCGCTCTCCCGGTCTCCTGTATACTCTTTTTCTTCCACCGTGCTTACAAACAGAATCTAGACTCATCTGAAAACAACTCTTGACCAGTCATTCAGAGTCCAATTCTCGAATTTGACCATAACTCAATCTTGAGTTACTGCGGTGTTTTTCTAGTTTTGGGCCATTTGTAGGTCTTTATGGCTTTAAATTTTCTTCAGCTAGACGCGGTCTTAATGTATCCGTAATCAGATTTTTTCCTCCAGCTCGTAAATGATGATTCTTTACTTCACTACTCATTACAAAACTTTGTCAAAATTGTTGACACCTTTGTTCGGCCTGTTCCTGGTCTTCAAAAATAGCATCCAGTTTCATGGAAACGCTGGAGTCTAGCTGTACTGTAGAATGTGTCACACCAACAATGCTTGCTGTGTTTCGCTGATTGTGCCCATCTTCAAGCATTGTCAGGATCCTGGTACATTCTTCAGGGGTTAACAACATGATGATATCAGAATAATAAAATTTGTAAGGGAGAGACACTATATTTATAACTCTTTTATTGCAAAACTAAAACAAACAATTATCAAAAATAAATAAAAAGGTTTTATATATTATTTTATGTGACATCAAATATTCTTTAATTTAGTCTTTATTTTATAAAGCTAGGTCAGGTACTTCGTAAGTATAGTAAAAATCTAATAATAAAGTAATGCTTTTCGGTCCAGTAAATTATTGTAGAATTATTCTTTATATTATGCTTTGCACTGGTTGACTTTGTCACATTTAGCTAATACTTTTACATTATTATTTCCATTCTCATTCGGCAAGTGCTAAAGCTAACTGATAAGAAGATTAATTTATACTAGGCTAACAATCGACAGGAACACTGCCTACGTGCCATGTAACACACAAAGATATAAGAATTTAATTACTAAAATAAAAAGCATATTAATTTCATCAAATTGTTGAATACGGTGTAGTTTTCGGATAAAAATCGTATGTTAATTTGTTGCATAAAATGTTAAATTATTTCATCAAATGTTAGTCACGAACATAATATTGAATTTAGAACTGTCGATTTGTCGTCTATCAGGCTATTAACACATTTGATCAGGACAACCAAAATAAATTCTTGAACTTTAACTCATTGACATTTTTAAAAATAAAAAGTAAAACCACAATTTATATAAATACGAACGGGAATTTAAATAGCTCCTAAGAAAGTAACTTTAAATGTCAATATACCGCAATGTGACAGTCGGACGTTATTTCATGAAAATGTTGACATATATACAACTTGAAAAAAGTATGAGAATCTCTATGTAATCGATACAATGATATATACAAAGATAATTATGACACTAGCGCACCGAAATTGAGGCACTCAAATTACACGAATTGGTATAATTATGTAACAGTTCTATAAACTGCTATCTCTTTCCGTGTCATACGTTCTATACCATCTGTCACATTCACTTATGTTTGTTATATTGTAATCGATATATAAATATATATATATATATATATATACACATATATATATATATATATATATATATATATATATATATATATATATATATATATACATCAAACTTGGTTTTTCTTACACCGCGATTAAAATGACGATGAATTTATTATACATATTTCAAAACATGAAAACTAGCTCACTTTTTCCTTTAAAGGAATCGCCGGCTAACCCCGTGGCCAGCCCTGAATACTGCCAGCACTGAAAGAATCTCTCTCCGAGCCGCCAGTACACTCGTCCTCTGCGGGCACTACCATGCAAGCATATTCTTCCACTTCTTTGTGACCACATTTCGCTTGAACTTGTAAATTGATAACAAAATAAAGTTTACGTTCTTTAAGCACTAAGCTCCTGTTTTAATGACAATTTCATAGACTTTAAAAGTTAAAAAAAAATAATAAAGCATACTGAAGCCGTCATCCTGATTTCCTGTACCTAGTGGAATTATACAAAGATGCGAGTAAAGTAAAACTTCACGTACTGGTCAATATGCCTCAGTATATTTTTTAATGATCGTAATATGAAGGTATATAAGTAACGCCGTTCTAAAGCGAAAAAGAGCACAGTCACTCAAAAAATTATACAATGCTAGTTCACAATATACAAGTACATTACAAAATCGTAAGTTGTAATAAACGTTTAAAAACTTAACGTTTTAAAATAAAATGATAGTACATAATACATCATAACTTATCCTCGATTCTTTATATAAAAATATAATTTATCTCAAATGCGATATATCGTACCATTAGAACAGCAGTGTAGTTGCTTGTAGCAGTGATCCTTCATAACTTTAAGAGCACTAAGTGAATTCAACAAATATTTATTAAAAACTTTGATTCCTTTTTTGTTTAATATTATTGTGAGGCGAGGTAAAAATTAATGTTTTGTCGTACCTACCAAGTCTTCTACGACTATTATCTAAAATATTGCTTGTGAATCACAGATGATGATGTAGTACTCCACAAAATTTTATGGACGTGTTACATTTCTCCATCTAATATTAAATCCGGCAACTTTATGAAATCCAGTTCGGTGGTCGTTCAGAACATTACTATTGTTCAGAACTTACTTTGCGTGGCCCTATCACAGTTAGTCTAAATAATTTTCTAAACAATTGAATTTTCATAAAATAAATATTAGATTAAGTGGACCCTTTTGCATTTATTACAAAAATGCCTCGAAGAAAGACGAGTCTATCTCAATACATTAGAGCAGCAAAAATAAAGAAATAGATTAGATCTCAAGAATCTAACGAAGAAAAGAAAACACGACTTAGTGCCTTAGGCAACGCCATTCATTATCTAGCGTATTGGAGTCTATAACTGAGACTGAATTTCGACTGAGCGCCCATAGATGCGTTGAAAGAACATTATTAACATTAACCTACGGCGAGATGAAAGGTCAATGGGGAACATCATGGTTTTTTTCTTTGGAGATTTTCGCCGCGCCCTTTTTGTCATTACTCGGAGGTAGAAGAAAGAAATGCCTCACTGAAGCGTTCTTATATCTTGTTCTTATTATCTCTGGACTCAAATACAAAAGTTTCGGTTGACAGTTAACGTCCGACCTCTGTTGGGTGGTCCTTCACATTTCAGAGGAAAATGGCCAGATGAGTATTTCGGTCATACTTGGTAGAGTCGTTTCTGATAAGTTCAGTATTTGGTGAACTTTCAAGTGTACACGAGGAAATTTCTAGATTACTTGGACGTGTTATGCTTACTGCAAGCAATGACTAAGACACTACAATAAATGAAAAATATCGTATAACAGTGTCGTTATTCGACCACCACAAACGCCACAAATTACCCGGTTGAGTTTTTCAGTTCGCTTACTGCAAGGGGCTTTCCTGCGCATAAAATCGAATACGCTCAAAGTTGATGTAAAATTTTGCAATTGTTCCATTTTCAGGTTCATATAGTAATTTCTCTGCAAAGGCACATAATTGAAGCTGAGATCTTCTGCCTGTGCCTCAGGCGAAATTGTGTTTATACCGTGAATATCATACGAGGAATTGCCTTCGGCGTCGGTTCGATTCCCACACGAGAAAATTATTTGTGTGACCCACGTAAAATTTATGTTTGTAAGATGTCCTTACAACACAGGATGATATTATACTACAATAAGGGCAATGTTTAAAAAAAAAATTTCAGTTTCCAACAAGTTCCAATTCCAATTCAAGCTCACACAATTTCTAGAAACAGCTTGCTTTGCGATGATAAGTCTCAGGGACAGATCTAAAGGTCACCACGGCCAATTGTACATGGCGTGCTCACGGGTCATTAATAAGAACAATTTATACATATTAGCCTCAGAAGGCAAAACCATGAATGTGGTATATAAAGTGATATTTTAATGTATATATCGGTCCGCATCTGTCTCAATTTTACGCTTTCACCCTATTCCACGTGGACGTAGTCACGTAGTCGGGCAACAACTAGTGGATACTTACTTCGCTGGCTCAGCGATCCAAAGAAGATCTTGGCCTCCGACACAAAAAGACGCCACTGCTCTCAGTTCTGGGCTGTTTCTTGCCAATAGGAGAGCTCTCAGATCTTTCGGGATTTTTTGTGATCTTTCTTCAGAAATCAAATTTGATGAAGTGTGTTGTGAAGATCAAGTCAGGAATATTAAACGTATAGTTAGCATTACTGAAAAACAAAGAGAAATTGATTAGTGGGATTACGATGAGATCAATCTGTATATGTACATACAGTCGGTCACATACTGCACGTAATTAATCAGTGACGGTAACTTGGGTGTCTACGTAATTATATTAAAAGCATATCTATATGTCCTGCTTTCTGCATCTCATCTTCTTATCCTTTGATAAGTTCGTAATGCCTTTGATTAAAGTATTAACGCTTTGTTACACCGTACAAATTCGTGAACTTCATGTATGTGTGTAATAATGCCTTCTTTTTACAAACGAAAAACCACATCGCCTCGGGGTCGTGGTGACACTAAAAGTACCGAGGCTTAGACTGGCTAAAACCAGAAAGTCGTTTAGCTGCGAGGCAATATGTCTTATCTAGTTATGAATATTATCTTATACATTTATAAAGTCACATCTACAATTACATATAATTAATTTCATTTATAAATGTTTTTGTATAGTTTATTATTATATAGGATAGAGCTCTGCAGTACAGTCACTTTAAGGGTTATTTAAAATAAAATGAAAAAATCCTTAAGTTCTGTGTTTATTACCTGCTGATATTCCTAAATAACATAAAAATAATAAAATATCGACACATTTAGAAATTATAAAGTTTATTAATTAAATTTCAAAACAAAGAAAAAACTACCTCAAAGTAATTGGCCTCTACTACAGGCCAGCAAAAGTATTAACATTTATACAAGGAAATAATCGTAAATATATTGGCAATGTTAATGTTAAAACATATTAAGCATACGATTTCTTTTCAAATCTTCTTTACACCCCAGCAATCACCAAGAGAACTTGAGTTGTGTGTTATACGTTCACCACGCGCAACACAAATTTTCATACCTGACAGTAAGAAAGACACCATCACGCGTGGTATGTTCTTATGAAAACCTATTACAACTCCATCTATTCTAGAATTTTGTAAATTGCAATTGGTCCGTACTGGATACCGTACTGTAGGACTCTCCCCTAATTTTTTTCGGAAATCAAAGTCGATCTATAGGTACAATATAATATATATGGTTCTGTTTTAGTATAATTCAAATTAAATAAGTAATTTGAATCATCGATTTTCATAATTATTTGAAGCAATGGTTATCAACATTCTTATTGAAAACTACACCGTATTATCGTACAATACATAAATATTCATAGCATAGTTGTGAGTCTAAAGTAGGAGATAAAAGTCAAAGAATAAGGACTAAAAATATAAAAAAGATTAGTTAACGTTGGTGCATACATCTCAAAAAGTCCAGTGGGATAAACTTGAAAAGTTCATTTGCAATATCTGGGGTCGTTAGTCATATAAACGTTCTTTAAGTTAAGCGGCTTATAAATATTGCGAGTCGGACTCGTGCACGAAGGGTTCCGTAAATTATCTATAAAAACTGCAAAAAATCATGTATGTTGTATGGGAGCCCCACATAAACAATTTTTATTCTGTTATTTATTATTTAGTATTGTTTATTAGCTACTGCATGTTCTTCTGGAGTCTAAAAAAATCATGTGGCCGTGGGCTTCCCACTTAACATTTTTTATTTTGTTTTTTATTATTTGTTTTTATAGCGGCAACAGAAAAACATAATCTGTGAAAATTTCAACTATCTTTTACGATAGGGATGACGAAAAAACATGGATATATCGATATTTTCTTAAACATATATCGATTTTAGCTAGATATTTTGATCCGATATTCAATTTTAAATATCGATATATGCGATATAAATTTATTATTTATATTTGACATATCTCGTTTGAATTATCGTTTTAAAACGATATTTGAATTTTTTTGTATGGTATAAAGCATCTAACAATAGATGCGGCAAGCATTCCGTTGAGATTTTTGTCAGTGTGGCAATCAGCCGTTTACTTAGTCTGTCCCGTGACCATGAACGCAACGTCGGGAATTTCGAAACAAAATACAAGAAGGGATAAAATCCGTAAACTAGTTTCATTTAATATGTATAATATTCGCGTAAAATCAAGAAGTCTACATTTTTTTTAATGATAAGTCAGCACTTAAAATTAACAATTTCATCAGTGCTGGCACCGGGAATTGAACTTATGTTGCTCGAGTAAATTGGATTAAATGCAAGCGCTCGGACACAGAGAGCTAACGCAGCACCAGTGAACCATAATTTTGAATAATTTAATTTTTTATAAAGTTTAGTAGAATTTTAGTTTTAAAATACGCGACAAACATTCTATCGAACAACAATTGCATAGAAATCGACTATTGGAAAAACAAACTTTTCCCATCAAAAATGGCCTCGTTAGATGGTTTTACTTCAAAAATAAGATAATAAGTAAAATTTGTAAAACTTACAAATTGTCAATTTCACGTTCACAAGAGTGAATCTCTCTCTAATCATGATAATTGTTTTATAATTTCAAAGCTTCTAAGCACGTGATAAGTCAGCACTTGAAATTAACAATTTCTCAGGTTGTTTGAGTATATTGAATTAAAGGCGAGAGCCCGGACACTGAGCTATCCCGGCTCTTCTGCTGCTATCTCTTCAATTTCTGTAAAGTATCGCGTATCTAACAGTTTTAAATATATATTGTGTCATCATCATCATCATTTCAGATTGTTTTGGTTCACTGGCTTCCACAGACTGCCAAAAAGCACAATCCTAA